TTTATGCACCCTTATGTTCACTGCAGCACTATTTACAATAGCCAAGATATGGAAGCAACCTAAATGCCCATCAATAGGCGACTGGATAAAGATGATGTAGTACATATATACAATGGAATATTACTCAGCCATAAAAAAAAAAGGAGTCTTACCATTTGCAACAGCATTGATAGATCTCCAGGGTATTATGCTAAGTGAAATAAATCAGACAGGGAAAGACAAATACCATATGATCTCACTTATATGTGAAATCTAAAGAACAAAATAAACAAACAAAACAGAAACAGACCAATAGGCACAGGGGTAAAGCTGATGGTTTCCAGATGGGAGGAGGGTTGTGGAGTGAGATGAAAAAAGAGGAAGGGATTAAAAAGTACAAACTGGTAGTTACAAAATAGTCATGGAGAAGTGAAGTACAACATAGAGGAGATAGTCAATAATATACTAACAACCATGTTACTAGACTCATGAGGGGATCACATTGTAAATTGTATAAATGTATAACCACTACGCTGTACACTTGAAACTAATAAAAAATAATACTGAATGTCAACTGTAATTGAAAAATCAAAAAAGGGGAGATGAAGGAGAATAAAAGGTTCAAAATTCCAGGTATAAAACAAACAAATAAGTCATGGGGATGCAGTGTACCACATAGGGAATATAGTCAATAGTGTTGTAATAGCATTGTACAGTGTCAGATGGTCACTGGACTTATCATGGTAATCACTTCTTTAGTTTATATAAATGTTGAACAACTATGGTGTATACCTGAAACTAATACAATATTGTATGTTAGCTATATTTTAATAAAAATCTTTAAATAATAAAAGTTTGTTGTAAGCTACAGGTCTTTGGGCCAACATTAAAAACAATGACAAAATCCAAGGCATTAAGGAAAGAAGTTTTATGTTCTAAAAAAATCATACATGAATGTATATAAGCATGAGTATTCCTGAGATTCTTGAAATCTGGCTGGGTTGTTTTTAACTCGTCGTGTCCCTCAGAAATCATGGAGAGATCCTTGATTTCCATGGCACTAAAATCCAATTCATGGGGCTGACATTATCAAGACCCACTGCTTGCCCACTCTACACCACACTACTCAAATGGTAGTTGGCTTTGCATACTAGCCAAGTATCCAAGTGTATGTCAGTTTACAAACATTTGTGAATACCCACTGAATGCAAAGCTTCTAGTAGGCAAGGCTTGTATGCAACATATGCAAATGTTTTTCCTTTTCAAGGGGCTCTCACCTTTTGGCTTGTTTTAACTTTGAACAAAACTAAGAGGCCTGTAAATTAAGCCTCATTAGGCCCACTGTATAGCTAAGACAGCATGGCATGGCAGAAGCAGCAGGAGCCTTGGCATCCAACAATTCCTTTGCATTCTAGCTCCACCTCTTTCCATTGGAAAGCCTTGAGCAAATCAGTGTTCTCTTAGAACACTGCAGATAATAATTTCATCTTTTAGGTAGCTGTATGCATTTAGGATCTGTGACTACCTAGAAAAGATATTCAATAAGTGACACTATGCCTATCATCATTATTAGGAAACCAAGTCCCACTTCTAAGGTCACACATCTGATTTGGGCAGGATAAAAACCCAAATACATATGTCCAAATGCCCAATCTAGTGTAGTGTTCACTAGGCTAAATTGTTCCAGTGACTCAGTGACGAACCCAATTATGCCAATACTATCAGCCAAACTATGACAAGTGAGTTCTTTTAAGGGCTCAAATGTCTGTTGCTCATTAGAAGAAATGCTGATGACAGAAAAAAAGCTGTGAGTCATAGTAGATACAGAATTTAGGAGGTGGCAGGACTAGATTCCTGCATATCAGCAAGAATGCTACCTTTAGAGGGTTAGATGCAATGTAGGGTCCTCCCCAGATTACCAGTCTCTGCAGCTCTCGAAGGGTCCACTGCATCCAGTCTGGGTTCTACATTTAGGAAGAGGCCTTCTCCACTGGCATTGATGGCACGACCAAAGGGTCTCACAAACATTGACATCCGATGCACTCCAACAGGTAGCAGGTTTGTCTGACAGACCACATTTGTTTGATTTGAAAAAATAACTTTGCAATTTGATTTGTTCACAGTAATCTGAAAGGCCTGGGAGTCACCAGAGAAACTAGTTCCAGTAATATAAACCAGTAGATTGATGTCACCATCTTAAAGGAGGAAAGAAATATAAAGAGCAAAATCGTCTCTCAGTGACATCACTCCACTTAAGAGAACTCTTAACATCAAATGTTTATTCCCTCCCCAAACTGAAGGAGTTCAATGCTGACTCAAATATTGGACATTTGCATTTATTATTATAGCATATAGCTCCCATCTTAAATTTTCTCAAACTAGTAATGAGCAGTCACTAGTAAATAAAAATGGTGTGGGGGCGAGCAAAATAAAGAATATTTTAAAACCAGAGACCAAGAGAATAAAACATTTTAAGTCATCAATAATCTACTTGTCTCCATTTGAAATCATGACCACATCATTTAGATTGGCTGAAAAATATACTTTTACTGCATCGCTCAATACCCATCCCAGGAACTGATGCACCTTCTGTCCACCTATTACCAGGTAATGGCCTCTAATCACCCTGAGTCTAAAGTTTATGACCATCTCAATGCCCCGTCACAAATCATACCAAGTGAATACCACAGAGAGTGGACCCAGGGAGTTGATCCTTCGAGGTACTGGAAAGAACAGGAACCTGAGCAGTAAGCTGGTATGTCATTCACTCGTACAACCACCTAAAAAAAAAAGCCAAAGAATTAAAAGCAAATGTATGCATTTCATTCACTCAAGAGTATTCATAAAATGCTTGTGAAATTTGCCCAAATTAAAAGGTGTTAATGATTTATTCATTTTCTTTCTTCTATTTCCCGGTAATAAGCCCTAAATTATAATGAATGGCTCAAAACATGTTAGGCTTTCTTAGAATGATGGTAGGCATGATAAACCTAACATTTCTATAAATACATATGCTAAATCTTGAATAAATGTCTTCTCTGTCAGATAAAACTAAATTAAATAAAATTCAAACTGCATGAGGACTTTTTATCACTGTATTCTCAACTGGGTACCTACTTCCTGTGAAAAGCTCTTTCTTTGCTGGTAAATGCCAATAAAGTAAGCGCCTTCCTTTCATCATTATTACATGGATATATAACTGAACATTAGAGTATTTGGACACTTGGTTTGGGGTCTTTTTTTGTCCTAGAATGGTACATCCCCAAGAAAAAACTACAGTTGACCCTTGAACAAGATGAGTTTGAACCACGCAGGTCCACTTATATCTGGATTTTTTTTCAATAAATACTGTAAATGTATTTTTTCTTCCTTATAATTTCATTAATCATAGTTTATTTTCTCTAGCTTACTTTATTGTAATAATACAGTTTATAATATATATAACATACAAAATATGTGTTATTTGACTGTTTATGTCATCGGTAAGGCTTCTAGTCAACAGTAGGCTACTAGCAGTTAAAGATTTAGTAGTTACACACAAATTTTCAACTGTGAGGGCAGTCAGTGCTCTTAACCCTCATGTCATTCAAAGGTCAGCTATATGTCTTTCCCTCTCATTGGAACTAATGTTAATCTAATAGAACTTTACAATACTTGGAAATGAGAAAGTGAAAAGATATGACTCATTTGACTCTCTATATATGGATTAAAAGTACACACACTATATTCATGATAGTGTTTGCTTATGAAGGAAAGGGGTATAGGAATTGCATGAAGGCATAGGTGATAAAAAATACTTTGATATTATCTACAACTTTTTTTGATTCATAAAGACAAAAATATAAAAGAAATATATCAAAATGTCAACAATTGTTAATCCTGATACCCTGTATAGGTACTCTGGTGTTGGTTATATTATTATTTATAGTTTTATATTTTAAATTTTTCTCAAATTAAAAGCAGATGAATTATAACAGGCACGTGGGCAAACAGAAAAGAGAAAAGGACATTTTTTAAAAAGGAACCTAAAAGCAGCAAATGAACAGGACAAACAGAGGCTCATAGACATAAACAATAGATTAGTGGTTACCAGAGGGGGAGGGGGAAGTAGATGGGGTAAAGGAACCTAAAAGCAGCAAATGAACAGGACAAACAGAGGCTCATAGACATAAACAATAGATTAGTGGTTACCAGAGGGGGAGGGGGAAGTAGATGGGGTAAAGGGGGTCAAATATGTGGTGACAGAAAGAAACCTAACTATGGGAGGTGAACACACAGTGTAAATATATATATGCCTTACTGTTAAAGTGTACAGCTGAAACTTATTGGATTACATTAACCAATGTCACCATAAAAAATAAATGAAATAAAAAAATAAATAGGAAAAAATAAAAAGAAAAGGAGTTGACTTAGCTCATTTACTTTTCAATACCATTATGGGGAGGTATAAATTATATGTAGTTATAGAGGTTTTCATTTTTTATATCACAATATTACCACCAATAATTATAATAACAGGATGCCGTGTTTACAAAGCACTTATATTTTTAGAGGACCTTCCATACTCTGTGGAAGTAGAAAGAAAAAAGCCATAATTGTCTCAGTTTTAGGGATGGGAAAACTGATCCTTGGGATTAGACCACATTATAAATCAGGGAGGGACTGAGATAGACTAGAAACTAATATTTGCATTTGGGGTGGCTCATCCACTCTCACCTGAGTGCACGGGTTGGCAGTAGCTAACATGTCTCCAAATATGGGTGCAAGAAAAACTCCACCATCATATACCACACGAGTGGTTGCAGCTGGGTTCACTCCAGTTAGATTTTCGCCAGAGACCTAAGATGATTACATATCTGGTGAATTCTGTCATGGAATAGAAGTCTAATCTTGATTAAAACAAATAATAAAAGGTCTTTTCACATTCTATTTAAGATAATCAGATAGAAATAGAGTGACAGGAGATCGAAATCTAGAAACGTAATATAAGTAATGGCTAATGAAAGCCTCAATAGATTACAGGAACATTTATTTGCAAGTAGAGTTGCCAAAAAAAAAAAAAGACACATAAAAAAATGAACCTTATCTCTCACTCTTGAGATTTTTTTTTGTTTCTATGTGCTTTTCTATTTTATATGTTTACATCTAAAATATTAAAATAAAATGTAAGAAAACAAGTGCTATGAGATGACACCTGTTCTTCTTCTATTTTCACTCAGGTATTTTATTTGAAAAGCAAATAATCCACCATATAATGGGGATCAAATTCCATCTTGGATACTATATTATAATAACCAAATGCTATATGATCATTAGATTATTTTTTAAAACCCTAAATATGCAAGAGCATCTGGTTTTGTCATTATCCAAAGACAGCAAATCCTTTTCTAAACTTCCTTCTGCTGTGCCATCTGCTTCCATGATAATCTAAGTCAATCACATCTGCTTAAATTATCCAATAACAGATGTAGAATTATTGTAGGGTGGACACTAACCAACAACTTCTCTACCTACACTGACTTGGGAAAGGAGATGTTGGGTTCAGAGATATAAAATCCAAAATACATCTTGAAAACTTCCAGAAAGATCGTCAAACCCCTTTACCTGAATATTCCAACAAAATAATTTATGACAGTTTTCATTTATATCATCCTGATTTTCTTACAAAATTATTTCAGGGCACAAAATCCATACCCCCCCAAAGGGGTATTATACATACCCTGATGAAATTGGGCAAATCCCCAACCTGGATGGACCAGGAGATGGTCCATACATGTTCATAGCAAGACTTTAGATCCTCCATCACGGTGAAGTCATGGACATTGAGGTACCTGGAGGTGAAGTCATCAGTATTGTTCTGTAAGAGCTGGCAAAGGTGACTAGCTGAAATATTCACAGGGACATCTGTGGGAGAAGATTTTGATATAGAAAATACAATACACTAATTATTACACCTCGCAGGGTCTCTTCATGAAGATACAGAGAAAAAAATATCAAGATATCTACTAAATATGCAAGAGACCCTCAAGTTCAAAATGTAGCTTCAAGAGGACCCCCAGCCTAGTTATACCAATTTTTTCCTAAGGCAAATACAAGTAGATGTCCACTTTTTATATCATGATACCTTTTATTAGTATTACATATCATAGCAGGCAGACAAAACTGTCTCAACTGTCATCACAAAATATGAATTCCAGACACACTGGTAATGCCTGAAAGTCTAATTAAGTGTTGGGTTTTCCTTGGAAAAATTTAGCTGGCTCTGTGAACAGAGAAAAGTTGGCTACCTTTCACAGGGAGTGGGGGAGGGACACAGCAGCTGACACCCATAAAAAATTTAGCCAACCCAGCTGAGGAATGCTGGCATTTAACTTTGGTTTCTCTATTAGAATTTCCTTTAAGACCAACCACCTGCTTCCCCATTCCACATTCCCATAGAGAAATAACAACACTCTGAGCTTAAGTCCCACTTGTGTTTGAACTGTTTCATGCTTTACCAAAAGTTTCCATTTCATTAGCTACTCCCAACAGCCTTATGAGGTGGGTCATTTGGATATCCTAATGCCTCCTTTAGAGATGAAGAAAATGAAACCCAACAAGATTCAGAAGATTGCCAACCAAGTGAGACAGGTTTAGGTTAAAATCCAAGTTGCCTTCTACCTACTCAAGAGCCTTTCTCTTGAATCCCAAACCCCCTTGGTGTGTTAATAAAATAATACTATATTTCTAAAATGCAAACAAAATTCTCATCCTTTTAAAAAATATGAAGCCATCGCCACTTCAAAAGATCTGATTAAGGCTGGCTTTCCCTGGTTGTTCTGCAGGTTGTGTGTTTTGAGGAGCACCAGCAATAGAGGGCGGTGGCAGGAAGAGTCTCTCTACAGAGAGACAGCTCCCTCATTCATGGTAAGGGAAACAGCACAGTGATGAACTTTACAGAGGCACCGTTGGCACTTATTCACCCATTTATTGGACTTTAACAGCAATAGACTCCAATAGCCTAGGGACCTTCAACTTTTCCCAAGTTGCCATATTAGAATAAAAATACCACTCCCACGGGAAGATTCTTTGCAAGCCCAGCACCTTTCTGCTTGGGACCATGCACTAATTTTTATACAGTCACTCTTAAGTTCTCCTGAGCCTCCTTTCTTATTCCCCTATGTTCATACCAACTAAGTAACCTAATCACTTCTAATCCTTGTCCTTTGTGAAATGTGTATGTTATTGAAGATCTGGAAAACTATTCTACTCTCATGGCATCTGAAAACTCTTTCTGCATTTGTTATGACCACTAAAATCTTCAATAGCATATGGTGTCACCATGGAGTTTAATTCAGAAGAACCATGGCTACCAGGGATCTTGGCCTAGGAAACTCTAGACAGAAGGGAACTGACCTGAGAATAAAGTCCCGAGTTCACATCTGGACCGTGCCATAAATTATTTATATGACCTCTGGGCTAACCTTAGTATAGTGGGCTGAATGGTATCTTTCCAAATGATGTCAATGCCCTAATCCCCAGAACCTATGAATATTATTACCTTATAAGGCAAAAAAGTTAATATTACCTTACATATAGCAAAAGGTGTAGTTAAGGATCTTGAGAAGAGAAGTTTATCCTGGATTATCCAGGTGAGCCCCAAATGCAATCATATGTACCCTTATGAGAGAGACAGAAGGAGTTCTGGGACAGAAGAGGAAGAGACAATGTGACCATGGAGGCTGGGGTTGGAATGATGTAGTGACAGCCAAGGAATTCTGGCAGCCCTCAGATGCTAGAAGAGGCAGGAAATGGATTCTTTCCATGAGCCTTCACAGGAAATGTGGTCCTGCCAACAACCTGATTTTGGACTTCTGGCCTCCAGACTATGTGAGAATAAATTTCTCTTATTTTAAGCCATCAAGTTTGTGGTCATTTGTTCTGACAGCCCCAGGAAGCTAATCCACTCAGTTTCCACATCTACAAAACTCAAACGTTGGGATTATATTAACAATGATAGATTATTGTTGTTGTCAAGATTTTTAATTTTAATAAGGTCATTTTCAGACATTGGAAAATAAACAAAATAACTTTAAGACTGATACCCTGCCTGACAATCTCATAGGATGTTGCTTGCCTAGGAATGCCCCTAAAATGTAAATGAGAAATGCTGCACCCCACAATTGTCCCTTTACCAGGAATCACTGTATTAGAAAGTTGGATGCGAAAGTGTCCTCCTACAGGTGGACTTGTTCTCTGTAGCCTCTGTGTTGTCACCTGGACCTTTCTGGATCCTTCTTCTGCTTCTTCAGTGGGCACAGAACTGTGGTATGTCAAAAACAAAGCATTAACCACAATGACTACCCAGAACTTCTCTCCAAGGAGAACATAGCTCCTTCTCAAAGACCAATTAGTCTGTGATTTCTAGACTAAGCTCAAACTCCCAGATGTTGGGTGCCCCTCTCCCATTACAGCAGAAAAAGCGTAGTGTAAATATTAGGATTCTTTAAAAGTACTCCATCCTTCCCCTTCACTGATCCTAGGAGCATGGGGTCCCAGAGTGAAGAGTGATGACTCTGGCCTCCACAGCTCTGGTCCTGAAGTACAGACTGGAAGGAGAACTTAGCATTCTCCTATCCCATTTACATACTCAAATCAAAAGTCAATGCCTGTTCCACAGATACTTCCCTACTCAGCATCTCCAGCTGAAACACAGACCACCCCATCTAGCCAAGTTCTCTTCTAATACCTATGTATAAGCACACTGACTGCCTATCCTTGCTTTTAACACAACAAATAAATTATGACACACTATGAGACAGAATACTGTTCAGCCATTAAAAACCACATTTTAGAAGATTTAATGAAATGGAAAATATTCAATTTATACCATTAGATGAAAAGGACATGTTATGAATATAGTATGTAATGTATGGTCCCAATTTGAGTTTTAAACATAAATATATACCTATTTATATGTATACAGAAACTGCTTGCAAAAAAAGGTGGTTAGAATATGGATCCAACATGTTAATGGAATCTCTGAGTACAAGTATGAGTGATTTTTCTCTTTTTCTAAGTGTTTTCTATATTTTTCAAATTTTCAACAATGAACATATCTGATTTCTATCAATAATATTATTTAAGTACTAATATTGATGTGCATACATACAACCAAACAGAGCAGTCAGAGTGATACTATCTGTGTGTGGGGGATGAATCTCGAAGAGGCCTGTCTAAAGGTTGTCCTAGCTTCCAGAAGAAGCTAAGGGACTTGGAGAAAAACCAGGAAAGTTGTGAGGACCACTCTAAGTGTGGACCTGTTCAGAATAACCTAAATTAGCCTCTATTATTTCAGAGTTAATAACTTTGTCATTTGGAGCACAGGACGACAGACTGGCTACTATGGCAGCTCTCTCTCCACCACTGAAGCTCTTTCACTTCTTTATTTTATTGATGGTGTTCATGTCTTTCCAATTCAGAGGACCAAGGAACACGAAGTCAAGGAAAGTGGAGCACAAGTTCGAGCTTTCTGCCCCTACTTTTAGTACACTGTTTCAAGCATGGTATATGAGAATTAATTTTGGAACATGTTAGAGATGGAAGAAAAAAAAAAAAGGAATTTTAAAAGCAGAACATCCCAATTCTTCCCATCCTACTGTGATTTTGTTGGGGGAAACGGGGGGTGGGGTTGGAGAGGGGGACAAATTAGAGCATACAGGTGTTCCGAAAGCTTAGAGGAGCCTAATCCTTAGTTACTGCTTTGTAAACTGTAGCTAGAAAGTTTGACTATTAAAGAAGGAACGCTTATGGGGCTCTAGTGCCATCTGGTGGTGAGTTCTTAGAAATAGCTGTTTTTGTTCCTTAGATTATTTCATTTCGCCTCAAAAAATTCCAATAAGATTAATACATGAAGAATGGAAGGAGAGGAGTGAACAAAAAAGGTGGTAATGTGAACCTCTGAACAACATAAAAATACAACTACTTTTAAACATATTCACTAGAAATTAGTTCTCGAAGTGTGGTCCCTAGACCAGTAGAATCAGCATTGCCTGGGAACTCATTAGAAATGCAAATTATCAGGCCCTGCCCCCAAACTACTGAAATAAAGATGGTATGATTAGGGCCCAGCAATCTGTGTTTTAACAAGACCTCCAGACGTCCAATATAGCATTCTTCAGATTTAGAACCATTGCTTTAAGCAACAAGACTGGTAGATTTTCCTGCTAAAAGTTCCGCCTTTGTGTTCTCCAAAGTCAACCAGCAATTCTAAGAAGGGACAGGTGAGTGAAGCCAGCTCCCTACCTTGCGGTGATGAGCGGGAGTTCCGGGCCACACCCTGCCAACCAGGAGGTTACATTGTAGACTGGAGGGGATCCCACCACAGAGACAGATTCCACCAGATTCCCACCTGGGCGAGCTGTTCCAGAATCAGCTTGAGAAACTAGAGACCAAGGATCCAATTATTATCAAGTAACTCAAGATGGAAGACCTGCTGTATGGAGAGTCCTAGCTGGAGATGCTGAGTTACTTAGATCTCAGCACACACTTAAAGCTGAGCAAAGTTAGAGGGAGCAACAGTTTAGTACCAATAAGAAAATACATGATATAAGGAAAGAAAGTCTAATCCACAACAAACTTCAATAATTTCCAAGCCAGATAAATATCACTCCCTATGCCATAGAAGGACCCGCTATATAAATAATCTATGACAGTGTGGATGGCCACCTTTTCTTCCTTTCCTTCTCAAAGACCCTGGCAACTTCAGGAACGTACGGCAGATCCTCTTTAGGAAAATTGAACACATGAGGTATCTACTGGGGCTACTTACTGTTTATCCACAGTGTGGAGTCAGCACATGTGCAGAAAAAGTACAAGCTTTAAGACAGACCACTGTTCAAACCCTGATTTTCCACTTCTATTGGCTTACCATTTAGTGAATCAGCATAACCTCTCTAAGACGTTTTCCAACTTGTGAAACGGGAATCATGACATACACTAATCTGCATAGCAGGAAAAGTACAGTGAGATGCTAGATTTAAATGATCAGCACAATATATTTTAAATATTCTCTTCCCTTCCTACTAAGCATTGTGTAAAAGAAGTCCTTCTTCTCAATACTGTACAATCGAGACAGAAAACAGTTTAAAGGCAGAATCTTTGCATGCTCAATGCTTAGCCCAACAACCAGGCACAAAGTAGGTGCTCAACAAATGTTTATTCACTGAGCTGGATATGGAGTCATTGAGGGTTTGGCTCTTGTGTCAACAACCTCTGAGTTCCAATCTCCTCCACGTCCTAGCTGTGGGATTTGGGGCATGATACTCAGCGCCTCTTAGCTTTGGATTCCTCATCTACGGAGTGGAGATAATAGAACCATCTCATGGGGTTCTGAGAGCTAAATGAGAAATAAATGTAGCTACCACTAGATAAAAAGAATTTTCATAAAAGATATTAGGTGGGAGAATATAATCAAGTGTTAAATTGATTAGATCAGTGTCAGACAATTAACTGTAATTATTGAGCCCAATTGTGGAGTTTATGTTGCCATTATATAATCTTCAAAGCAGTCATTTCCAGCAGGGTAACTAGACAAAGCAGGAAACAGACAGTTTTATCCAAGCCACCACCAGTCTTCATTCTTGTTTTGTCTCTGCCCTCTATCCTCTCTGCTTCCCTCCTCACCTCGGCCCTAGATGGTTCCAGATATTGCAGCATTTAGTGTCAAAAGGTAGGAACAGTGAGAAAGGGCTCTGGATCCCAGGCTTTGAGGGTCTGGAGGTGTAAGACAGCATTTAAGGGAGAAAAGAGAAAGGTAAAAATTGCCTATTATCTAGTCCTGAGTTTCCCAATCAGTGGGTTCAAGTATATGAAATACTGATACTCTCAGCCCTCTGGGAATCTGGGCAGCACTTGGGGGTCACCAAAGGGGCCAGCCTGGTGTCTTAAGTACCAAGACATTCGGGCATTTACCTCAGCACATCAATTGGATATTATTTTCTATATGTACCAGAACATGAACACAGTTTAAAATAAGCAATGACTCAGTCTGATCCAGATGCCCCCAAAACACTTAAACCACTAAAGCAAATAAGAGACAGAATTTTGATGAGTTCAGATATGGTGTAATTTCAGGGCTAAAAGAGAGTCCTCTTGCTATCCACCCCCAAGTTCCCCTACCCTCAGCTCTGCAATTTTACAGACAAAAGACTAAAAAGTTGTACATTTTACAAATGAAAATGTAAATAATTGCTTTCTCCTTTTCTCCTGGGCTATGTGTAGGGGGAGAGACAGAGACAGAGAGAAGCTACTTATAGCACGAAAACTGAGCCCCAAAGTCACAGGAACTTGATGGAAAAGGGAAACTGAGTAAAAGTTGGAAAGCTGGAAGCCCTGGGAGCAAATATTCCATCTGTCTTGGCCATGGGCTTCCCTTCCCCTGGGTGTGCATAATCCATGGCCAGCCTCGAAGGACCCTTGATGAGCACTTTGCCCTAAGACCTAAGACAACCAAAGCCCAGTGAGATCTCTGTGCCTAAGGGAAGTCAAGGGACTTGGTGGAGAAAGGGGCCAGGCCTGAGATGGAATCTGAATGGGCAGAAAGAAGGATGAGGCTAGTCTCATAAAGATAAGGTTACCCTCTAATTCTCACTGAGCCTATCTCCCAAGGGTCATAAATCAAGCCTTTAGCTCACTTACATTTTCTTCCAGCATTTTGTATGACAGATATTAACTGATGGAGAGGTGGAGAAATCCTGCTGGCCTAAAAGTAATAATAATGTTAATAGTGATAATAATTGCTTATATTTATTGAGCACTTACTATGGTCAGGACCTATGATGGGTGTTTTACATTATACTTCAGTTAATCTTTGTAGTAATCCAGTGAGGTAGGGACCTCAGTACGCCCATTTTATGGTTGAAGAAACCGAAGCTTCTCAGAAAGGAAGTGGTAAATTGGAGTAAGAGCACAGGTACCATAAGCAAGAGCAAGTACTGCAGTGAATAGGAAAAAAGAGGGAAGTAGCTAGAGACATATAGTGGCCCCGGGCACACAATCCCAAACGCATCTTCTTTCTAGAACCAAGGCAGACAAAATGGAGAATCACCTGTTCCCTCTCCGTTAAAAGAACAGTAACCCCTAGCAGAAAATATTCAGGTCAGTATTGGATGGACAGGTCCATGGAGGAGAGCAGAGTCAATGATCACCTGTCAGGTTTGTGTCTGCAATAATAATTTCATCCATATAGAATGCGCCCGTCTCCTGTGCCAGAGGAAGGAGGTCAATGCGATGTACCACCACCGGGGAGTTTTTCAGAAGCACTTGGAGATATGCAGAAGGATGCACACAAGTCTTCCAAAGGTCGGTGCAAGTGAACTGCCAGCTGAAAAACAAGCACACAGTGGAAATGGGCCTGCATCAGCAGTCCTCCCTTGTTGCATCTGCATCTCCTCCCGCGTTGGAGGCCTAGTTCTCAAATGTGGGGGCCTGAGGACTGTGTGGCCAGGTGAAAGACTCCATGAACCAAAACAGTCCTGTGTGTCATGGGTACAAAACAAACATCCAAGACAGACCCAGCTCGGCTTGTGGTGTCACATTAGCGAATCACATTTTAAAGCAATCATTCGTTCATGACACTCAATGTCAGCAGCATTTTCAAATTATAACTATGTATCTCAAGCAGATCATATGACAAGCTCTAATGACAGGGAAGATTAATACTCCTGGACATTACCAGATTCATTTAAAATGAATACTTGTAGGAAGTATTGCATTTCTAACAGCTAACTCTTCTGAAGTCAAACTTTTCTGGGCTCCAAATCTCTCATCTGTGTTTGGAGCCCCAAGTTAGAATCTGAAGCCCAAATATAATAGACAATACCTCAGATGGGCCACTGTCCCCAAGAGACAACCCAGCTGACAAAATTCCCACCACGCCTCCTCACAGATTACCTACCTTTCAGAACTGGTCCCCATGAGACTCCAGTCACAGGTGATGTTCTTCTTAATGATGCTTTGAAGACCAATTGTGAAGGACACGATCAACTTCAGGATCTTATGCATGCGGTCTTTGTATGCAATGCACAGCTATGGACACCAAATAAGTGCTTTAGCTCTATTAGTGCAAGAAGAAGCCATTCAAGCAATACGTGGTGAGGAAAGCCCACCTCCCTAGGACCCTGCCTCATCCTGTGAGTCAGCCCTGTTCCTGCTCTCCTGCAGCTTACTAGTCTAGCTGAAGAGACAAATCATTTAATGTAAATTATTATTTGTCCAAAAGAGAGTTAGTAAATGCCTAGCACTGTGCTTGTCAGTGATGATTTTAAAGTATCTCAATTAGAAAACCCCTGTACTAATCAGTTACTTGTGCAACTTTGAACAAGTCACTTACCCTCTCTGAGACTCAATCCCTTAACTCTAACTCCCCAGCATCCTTGGTTTCTGAATTAAGTAAAATTCCTTGTCTGGAAAAGACTTTAGAGCAAGGTTTGTTTTTCGTTTTTTTTTACTTCAGCACTATTGACATTTTTGATTAGAAAATGTTTCCTATGAAGAGGTTATGCTGTGCATTTTACGATACTTAGTAACATCCCTGTAACTTACGCAATGGATGTCAGTAACTTTTCCCCAGCTGTGACAACCAAAAATGTCTTCATAAATTGCCTACTCTCCCCTAAGAGGCAAAATTATCCCCACTGGGAGCCTCTATTATGGAGGAAAGGCTGGAGGATAGATGGTGCCCCAGCCTGAAACATTCAGTCCCAGCTCCCACAGCTGTTTGATTAGAAAAGGACTTGAAACGACTGATAGGAGCTCAGCCACCCCAGCAAGACTCATTCTGGTTCCCAAAGGGCACATGAGCTGCACTCTTATGAAAGACGTCAGAGCTACTGACCTAAAGGATGTGTGTCACTCGATCCACCAATAATAACAATAACTAAAATAGATAACAATAACTAGCCTTAACTGAGTCCTAACCACTGCACAAGCACTTTACTAGATTATCTCATTTAATCTTCACCAAAATCCTGAGAGATAAACAACATTATTACCTATTTTTCAGATGTGTAAACTAAAGTAAGACACTGAGGGCACACAGGGTGTGGAGTCAAAATTCAAAACCAAATAGTCTGACACTAGAGTCTGCATCATATCTAGAGAGCAAAGAAAATACTAGAGCGTATAAAACCTTCCATAGGTCTCACAGCCAGTACAAAGGCATTTCCATGTAACAAGTAGCTAATGGAGGACTGGAGGTATCCATTCACACCTGAAACAGGAGTTAAGAAACCAACCGAGACCCTCAGCCCAAAATGCCTTGGGCACATCACTCCTTTGTGCTTCTATTTCTTCAGTCTCAACTCGAGAGATTACACCAATTCCTCCCCACCCACCTCAACCAGAAGAATGAGGGCTGCTACTTACGTGTGTATATTGATCCAGCCGGTAGCCCTTCTGGGCAGCCGGGGGTCTTAGGATAAGGTACCGAGGCTGATAGAGGCTGAACCTCCCACAGAAGGGCTCTGTCCCACTGGTGAGGTGCCCGTCACAGCTGAAACCTTCTGAGCCTGGATGCAGTTCAGATAAAATAAAAAGACAGGTGTAGATGTCAAACAGACAGAGCTTCTTAACACATATGCAGGGAATGGGTTATGGGTTCACTTTGGGCAAGCTGAGCAGGGATTGGCCCAGCAGCTCCCAGTTTGAAGGCTCCAGCTATGAGAAATTCACCCAAGATCATCGAAAATATACAGGGGCCCCCGCTTACCGCTGTTTCACTTTCCACAGTTTCAGTTATCGGTGGTCAACCGTGGTCCGAAAATGTTAAATGGAAAATTCCAGAAATAAACAATTCATAAATTTTAAATTGTGTGCGGTTCTGAGTAGCATGATGCAATCTCACGCAGTCCCTTGGATCATCTCTTCCTCCAGCATCTCCACACCCATCTCTTCCTCCAGCATCTCCATACCCATTAGTCATGTGGTAGCCATCTTAGTTATCAGATAGGCTGTAGTGGTATTGCAGTGTTTATGTTCAAATAACTCTTATTTTACTTAATATTGGCCCCAAAGCACAAGAGTAATGATGCTGGCAATTCGGGTATACCAAAGAGAAGCCATAAAGTGCTTACGTATCAATATGATCAATAGTAGCCTAACATTATGTCATAATGCATACATCATTCAGTTCACTTCTCATCAAGTAGGCATTTTATCATCTCACATAAGGATGAGTAGAGTACAACAGATATTTTAAGAGACAGAAAAGTAGAGAGAGAGAGAGAAAGTGAGAGAGAGAGAAAGACAGAGAGAGGCCACATTCACATAACTTTTATTATAATATATTGTCATAATTGTTCTATTTTATTATTAGTTACTGTCACTAATCTCTTCCTGTGCTTAATTTATAAATTAAACTTTATCATACCTATGTATACATAAGAAAAAACATGGTATATGTAGAGTTCGGTACCATAGGGGTTTCATGCATTCACTGAAGATATCCCCCTGGGATAATGGGGACCTATTGTATTACTGTTTTCTATGTGTACCATAAAGACATGGAGTGTCAACTGTAACTTAGCTCATCTTAGTATTTTAAAAAGCATATCCTCACATTTTTATAATTTAAAACTACTTTTAAGAATTATTTTATGTAATAATTCTTTTATTCAAGATGCAATTGAAATTAAACAAGATTTGTACTGTTTTGCTGTTTCCCACCTATATCTTTTGCCCTTTTCCCTCTGTGAGGCATGGGACACAGTTCCTTAACTCTAACTCCCCAACATCCTTGGTTTTTAATTTTGCTCCTGACAACTTGGGAGGGATGCCTTTTATTTCTCTAATACCCACACCAAGCAGCTCCCTCCCAAGCATATAGCCACTCTATTGGCCAAATCCGATTTCCATGTCTTCATTTGACTCTGTTAGCATCTTGGCGATGAAATGAAGATTTTTCCCATTTTACAGATGAGAGAGAAAGGGAGGGAAGTGAAGGGAGGGAGAAGGGAGAAAGAGAAAGAGAAAGAGAGAGAGGAGACAATGAAGAAGAGGGTCAGAATTTGTCAAACCAGGGACGGCACCTTGTTCGAATCCAAGCCGGAGTAGGATATTAGCCGAAAGGGGTTCCAGCTGGCATTTGACTGCAAGTAACTCCTCAATGGCTGTCTGAATCTGATAAAAAGAAAAACTACTAGGAGTTCATAATGTGGGGATAAAGACTACCCTTAGTTCTCCCACCTCTCATTCTTTGAAGGAGGTTCCCACCTGATGGGCTGTGGCATTCGCAGAGATTGGCTGGCTAGAGACATTGTCCCAAGTAAGAAAGAAGTTCCCTCTTCCAGACACAGTCACCATCTAAAAAGTCAAGAGTGACAGAACTAAATGATGTGTGCTAATTAAGCCGGAGAGACAGTCCAGGAACATAGGACATACTTCCTCAGCTTGCTATTTTTTTAATTATAATTTTAATTTTTTAAACTCACTTTCATCTAGAAATATCTGGAGAACACAAGTGGCATCACCTAATGAAAACTTTTTTTGGAATAATATATGTGTCTGTCTCCCTATTTATCCATGCCTAGCTCCTTTTGTTTAAAGTGAGACTTAAATGTTGCTACTGAATGGCC